GGTTGGGGTTGGGGAAAGGATGATATCATGATAGATAGGCGAGTGATCGGGCAAAGAAAGGCGAGCGAGCAGTTATGATGCACAATTTGAAGCTAGATTTTCCGCTTCAGTTTCATCTCATCGGGGGCAAACATCTGAGAAAACATCTCTACAGCATCGAAAGCAAAGCAGGCGACACATGTTGGCCCTTTGCGGATATTGACGTCACGTCCGTCCTCCTGGAGCTGAGGTCATTCCACTAGCAATCCCCCCTTCCGGCCCACGACCGTACTCCTACTGGCTACATAGTGGAAAGAAGTTTTCAGCTTTCGTCACAACTTCCAGACCTCCCTTCTTAACGCAAACAGACTTGTCTGTAGTATATCGGTGTATCTAATATGACGCTCTCACAAGAAGCTCCGATCTACTTACAGACCTGTAGAGGTGCGTCTATGCCGCTCTGACACGTGGCTCCAGTCTACTTACAGACCTCTATACTTCAAGGTAACAGACTTGACAGTAGCCTTTCCAAGATTGCCCCCCCTCCCCCCTCCCCCCTCCCCCCTCCGCCCTTGCCTTTCTTCTTCCGGCGGCTGGTTGTCTGACTTGTGCCAGCCACCGCTCGGCTCAGCAACTCCGCCAGTTGAAGTAAAACTTTTGCGTGAGCTTGAGATCTTGCGAGTCCTGAGTGAGCAGTCCGTTCCTCGGCGGCTGGAAATCTCCGGGATTCACTCGGACCTCCGACTTGAGCTGAAGGTTCCTCACCACGTTGCAAGCGCTTTCGACGGCCGCGATGAACTCGTTGGCCACCTCGAAGTTGTCGTCGAACGGGCCGTCGAAGTTGTGCGTGGCGGAGGCCGTCCCTGGCAGGCCGGAAATGTAGTAGCTCGTCTTGATAGTGCCCTTGACGCCGGCGTCCAACTTACCGTACCCGCGCATGGTCACCGTCCCGAGGGTGAAGACGAAGCCAGGAGGATAGTTGAGCTTGACGGTCACGACACAGCTCTTCCGCATGTTCGTCTGGAGGCCCCCGTCGGTGGTTGCAGTGTACTTGCTGAACATTACCGTCAGCGCCTGGCCGTCGCTGGAGATGGAACCTTCCGCAGATCCGGAGGGACAACCATCTCCGTTATAAGAGAAGCCTTCGATGCTCACGGTATTTGCCGGCGGAGCTTCAGCCTGTCCATGCACGGCCAGCTGGAGCATCGTCACCAGCAGCAGCAGCGCCGCCATTGCCCCCATTGGGGAGAAGGACGGGAACAACATCTTCATTTCGAGAACCGTCCGCCGGTCTTCTTGAAATTGATCGGCGGATTCGGCGCCAACCACCAACTGTCCACTCCTTTTTTTCTCTGCCAAGGTACGGGCAAGAGAGATCCCTCCCTCCCTGCTTCGCCAGCTGAATCTCCGACTGGGTGAGGCTGCGCCAACTGCGTTTCGATCACTGCAGCTCTCTACCGTAACGATCAGATGCCAATCTACATGATGGAACTGGACGCTGGGATATGCGGTTTTATAACGCTCTTGTTGTTAAGCTTAGCTATATGTGGTGCCAGCCATTGCTATAGGGGTTCCGTGGCATCTATGTGGTGCCACTCATTGCTATAGGGGTTTGCTATAAGAATGGAGTTCCCGCCATTGCTATCGGGATCTGCTATTGGACTCTGCTATTGCTGGCGCTATAGGGGTACAAATGCCGGAAATAGGGGTAGCGCTAAAGGGTGAAATAGAGAGTCCTATGCAAGCACAGCTACCTCTCACAGTCAAGCGTTTGAATGTTGGCCACCATATTGAAAGAAGAATCTGAAAGAGGGAATAGGAATAATAACTCGTTTAAAAAAACAAGAAAGGGGTCACTACGCGGGAGTCACAAAAACAGTTTGAAATTACACTTCCGTCCAAAACGAGTTTCGAATTGCACTCACTGTGGCCCTGTGGGCAATGCACCGTACCAGAAAGGTGGCTTGTATACATTGCCCACAGTGAGTGCAATTCGAAACTCGTTTTGGCCCGATGTTTAATTTCAAACTGTTTTTTGTGACTCCCGGCGTAGCTACCTGAATCCCAACGACGCAATTGGCGGCGGGCGCTGCCCTAAAAGGCTAAAACTGCAATCGCCTCAGTGCGGCCTAACCACATGGAAACAATGCATAGAACACGATGCTCACGGGAAAAAAAAAAAAAAAAAAAAAAAAAAAAAAAAAAAAAAAAAACTTGATGCTATTTTGCACTCCTGCCCCCCGTGAGGTCCAATAAGAAAAGGGATACCTTGAACGGCCAGATGGAATAGTTCTCGAGCATCTGTGGGGGAAGTACACCCATGAGTGATGACTCGAGGGCGTTGGAACTTGCCGAGTGGCCCGAGTCTGAAAATTTAACGCGCTTACTTCGCCACGTCCAAAACTGTCGAAAAATTTCCACCGCAACTGGCCTAGAGGAGAGTGGGCGAGTGCTAAAGTGGGAGGATGACAGCTGCGAGCAGTCGCAATCAGGATGTCCGAGCTGGAAGGTTCTGCTTGTGTGTTCTGGTAGTGCTAGAAACAGACGAAGTCAGTGCCTTGTGCGTCCGTTCTCCACGTTGCACATCGACATGAGAAGTTCTCATTGCACAGTCTCTCTCTCTCTCTCTCTCTCTCTCTCTCTCTCTCTCTCTCTTCCTTCTTTGCCCCCCCGTGCGGCTGTGTGCCAAGTCTTTTAGACTCTTTAGGGAAGAACGTTGCGCAAAAGATTGAATTCCTCTTAACACTGATTACCTCTGTCTGAAGGGGAATATACAATACAAGTTGAACGTGATATGATCCGTTAGTTAGACAGAGGTAAAGGGACCCTCACTATACGGGGGTGTCGTTCGAACGTATCCTCTGGGTTCTCGGAATGGGAGGGGATGCTTTTGCCAGTTGGGTTGGGTTAAAAAACGGTATATCACTTTCCCATATGAACATGGGACCTCGCTCCGCGACTCACCAATTTTGCAAGATGGGAATAAATCTTCCTCTAGAATATGGAAAGTCACACCGCCAATATATATATATATATATATATATATATATATATATATATACCCGTGGTCTACGCGTTGGAGCTCGTGGTCACGGCAGCCGTCGATCTGGGGGGGATTGTCAGTGAGGGCATATTACTCAAACTAGCACTTGTTCACCTATATCTGGACGGAACTGCGGGCAGATGCATTAACGTGCGACCGTAAACGGCGTCGGGTTGTGCGAGTGTGAGTACAGCTTGAGACACGGGGAACTAGCACCCGCGGGTACACAGGTGGCAGCACTGTCTCCCTTCTGGATCTGACTCAGCAGGCGAGCTCACCACAGAGAACTGTGGGGCTACCAGTCCCACCCGTCGCGTCCAGCGGCTCGCACTATCTCAAGGAAATGCTCACCATCACACGCGGCCTCGAGACCACAAGTGGCATCCCGATCACTCGCGAGCGAGGTATCTCCCTTTTTTTCCTTTTTTCTCTTTTTTGTTTTCACTGGCAGTGCTTTTAGAGGGAAAAGAAAAAGGGAAAAGAACAAAGAGCGACACTGTTGTCAGCTTGTTATTTTCCCCCCCCTTTTTCAAGGAAGCACCTCGTCGGTGAGATAAAAATATATGGCTGATGAGGAGAAGGCAGCTTTCTTAAAAAGAATTAAAAAAAAAAAAAAAGGAACGGCACTCGTGCCGTAGGAATTCGTGGGGCTTAGGGTGGCCTGATAGCCTAAGCCCCACCCTGGGCTGAAAAGGCCACCGTTGTCAGATTAGACACAAGATTGAATTTACCTGGGCTGGTTAGTCCGATGATAATACCTCAAGGCCATCGCCCTTTGAAAAAAAAAAAAAAATTCGTGGGGCTCCACCTGCCTGCCCTTTCCGGAATTCTTGGACAAAGGTAGCAGCACATGCAGTCTCAAGTTCAGAACCCCACAGAATCAGCACGCTATCGCGCAAAACAGAGGACTCCAACTTTCAGTGATTGTACGGAATTTGTCAGTGCACTTAGGCAGAATCCCCGGGCCCGAGTCCCACTTACCTGAATTCTCAATTCCCGACCTTCCATTAGCAAGATTGACGGCCAGAAATGAAGAATCAGAGTAAGTGGGACTTGGCCCCCAAAAGGAAAAAATTTTAGAAAGCCCAGTGGAGCTCGAGGAATTCCTCGAAGAATGGGCAGTGGAGAACAACCCCACACCAACCGGTGTGAACGCCAAGAAATGCCATTGTAGTAATCGTGCATCATCAGCCTGCTACGAAACGTCTCACCCCTTTGGGCCTCGTTCCACACCACTTACGAATACTTACATTGTAAGGGCACCCTAACCGACCGAGGGTGATTTTTTTTTTTTTTTTTAAACAAGCCCAAGTTAATGCTAGAGGTGCTGCAGGCAGGCACCGCTAGCACTCTCAGGGAGGCTGCATCTATTGGTGGGGAGCAGCACCTACTGGAAAACGGGTCCAGCGTCCCTCACATTGATTGAATATTGGAAGAAACATAGAATGAGATGAACCTCAAAAACTGGGTGTACCTACTGAAACCTCCAGAATATAATTCCTGTATCTCCTTCTGCTATCAGCTGCCTCTTCACTCGATTACTGAGCGCCAGATCTCACAGTCTTTTTCTAGCAGCACCATAGCAATCTATTAGGATTTTGCAAGTTATTGCAGAATCTGAATTCTTTACTTTACAAATTGCCATACCAACTGTTGGGAACTAAACTCAATGCCGCTGGAGGGAATGGGTCTGGGAAGTCAGCCAGAGGGTGAAGAGGGATACTGCTATCTATTTTTGTCCACTCCTGAAAAACAATGCGATAATCCCGTCGAATTTCCTCTTGGTGACTTGTTTGTTGTTCTTTTCTGACCTTTCCCCATATGATCTTGCCAATTCTTCCAGTCGCCACTGAAGTTTTGAAAGTGTTGAATAATTTCTTTCCTTGATGACAGATATTTAACTTTTTCTTTTACCTTTCCCCATTGAGCTGTGATCTCTATTTGAATCTGTTGTTTGATGGAATCAGTGAATACTGGACCATCCAGTCTTGCTCCCTCCATTTCATACGTACACCGCCTCCGCCAAATGGCCCACATGAGTGCTCTTCTTCCTGTGATAAAAGGGTTATGAGTAAAATTATCTGCTTGTTCTTTTTCCCAAGTCTCACATAGCAAAGCCTTCAACTCCCACGGCCATCTGTGGGCAGTTTCTAAGGTGCTCCATATCCTGTCCCACCAGCGCCATAGCCATATCAACCCTGGGCATTGTAGAAAGATATACTCGATTGTCTCTGGAATTTTCCTTGAAGGGAATGCTGAGGTATAGAATTTGCACTAGGGGGAAGCCAAACCTCTTATTTCTAGAGAGGTTCTATCTATAATCCAGTCATTTGTGGGGAGACATCGATGCTCTATTTGCCATTGTAATGATGCTACTTTGGCAGGTCTGGACTTGATATTTTTGAACCATTTGATGTTCCGCAGAGAGTTTTTACTTACATTTAAATGTTTCATCCATCTTTGTCTCCACTTTATCTTTTAGGTTCAGTCTAGGACTCAGCATACGATATGTAGACTTGATTGACAATGTGTGTAGGGTGCGATTATACTTTCTGTTTTTCCCCATTGTTACAGTCCATACCCAGTTAGCCGGATCCATAGGGAGTTTATTGATTGGACAGTTACGTTTGAAGGCATGCCATTGGTTTTTACTTTCTAACACTCTTATTCTGAAAATTTGATCCACCTGTACCCATCTTACTTCTTGTGGGTGAGTTTTCTGAAGTATGTTATTATGGCCTAAAGAGAAAATTGTAATGAGAAAGGATCCATCCTTATGAGTCATAATGGCATTATCAATCAGTCGTTCATTATCATGCAGACCAACCCAATCATCTTCTAGAATCTTTGGTCCCTTTTCTTAGTATCCTCACCCAATCTAAGGGGATCAATTCAATTATTGATTCCCTTGCTGAATCGAATTGTCGACAATATCTTAGCTTTGGAGAAAGCTCTGAGTGGGAGAACCAATCCCTTGTTTCTTCGTTCCAGACGTCTCCTATTCTATGAATACCATTCTTAATTCATCCTTTCCAAGGAGAGTGAGTACAATGTAGCATTCTTCCTTGGGGGTCCGTGATCCATCTATTGTTAAAAAGCGGCTGTTGGCAGACCTCTTCCCATCTTTTTTTGGTGGAATCTTATCTGGAAGAGGTCACTTTCTCCATATTTTGATTAGATCTGGCCAGAATGAGTCATTTTTTATATCTAATCTTGTTGCTTGATGTTTGGAGTTCGTTTCTTGGCTTGGGAGCTATGATCTCCCTACAGGTATAGCCAAAACTGATTTTCTATCCACATCATTGGGTCTATCCCTAAGGGTGTTTCCGGTACTAATCTCGTAATTTGTTCCCAGGC